CCATATTGGCCAGGCCGGTCTCGAGCTCCTGACCTTGTGATCCGCCCACCTTGGCTTCCCAAAGTCTGGGATTACGGACATGAGCACCTGACCTTATAAATTCTTTTTTTTTTTTTTTTTTTTTGAGACAGAGTTTCACTCTTGTTGCCCTGGCTGGAGTGCAATGGCTGATCTCAGCTCACCGCAACCTCCACTTCCCGGGTTCAAGTGATTTTCCTGCCTCAGCCTCCCTAGTAGTTGGGATTACAGGCATGTGCCACCACGCCTGGCTAATTTTCTATGTTGTTTTTTTTTTTAAATAGAGATGGGGTTTCTCCATGTTGGTCAGGCTGGTCTCAAACTCCCGACCTCAGGTGATCTGCCCACCTTGGCCTCCCAAAGTTCTGGGATTACAGGCCTGAGCCACTGCACCCGACTTATAAATTATTTTATTATCCTGAGAAACCACACAGTGAGGAAGGTCTTCTGATTTATTTCCAAGTAGTTTTTCTTGGAAAAACTAGATTTACCAGATTTAAATAATAGAAGAACATATAGTGTAGACAGCCTTCTACAATCTTACCACAAGTAGATTTAACGCTATATAGTGCTATGTATAGCTTTCTAAGTTTTTTTCTGTACACATTAATAAGTTTGTTATTGATATAATTTTTTTTTTTTTTTTTGAGACAGAGCCTTGCTCTGTTGCCCAGGTAGGAGTATGCAGCATGGTCTTGGCTCACTACAACCTATGCCTCCCGGGTTCAAATTATTCTCCTGCCTCAGCCCACCGAGTAGCTATGATTACAGGCATGTGTTACTATGCCTGGCTAATTTTTTTGTATTTTTAGTAGAGATGGGGTTTTGCCATGTTGGCCAGGCTGGTCTCAATCTACTGACCTCCGGTGATCCACTGCCTTGGCCTCCCAAAGTGCTGGGATTACAAGTGTGAGCCACCATGCCCAGCTGTCATTCTTGTTTTTAAAAATTGTATCAGTAACATATCAGGCCAGGCCTGTTGCCTCACGCATGTAATCCCAGCACTTTATGAAGCCAAAGCTGGCAGATCACTTGAGGTCAGGAGTTCGAGACCAACCTGCCCAAAACGGCAAAACATTGTCTCTACTAAAAATACAAAAATTAGCCAGGCATGGTAACACATGCCTGTAATTGTAGTACTCAGGAGGCTGAGGCAGGAAAATCGCTTGAACCTGGGAGGCAGAGGTTGCAGTGAGCCTGAGACTGCACCATTGTACTCCAGCCTGGGCGACAGAGTGAGACTCCACCTCAAAAAAAAAAAAAAAAAAAAAAAAAGGCCGGGCATGCCTATAATCCCAGCACTTTGGGAGGCCGAGGTGGGTGGATCACGAGGTCAAGAGATTGAGACTATCTTGGTCAACAAGGTGAAACCTCGTCTCTACTAAGAATACAAAAAATTAGCTGGGCATGGTGGCGTGTGCCTGTAGTCCCAGCTACTCGGGAGACTGAGGCAGGAGAATTGCCTGAACCCAGGAGGCGGAGGTTGCGGTGAGCCGAGATCGTGCCATTGCACTCCAGCCTGGGTAACAACAGCGAAACTCCGTCTCAAAAAGAAAAAAAAAAGACGTTATCCTTTTTTACTAATTTTGTTATTGTGGTAAAATACACACGACATAAAACGTATCATCTTAGCCATTCGTAAGTGTACACTCCAGTGGTATTAAGTACATTCATACTGTGCATCCATCACTACCACCCAACCCCGCTCCAGAACTGTTTTCATCTTGCAAAACTGAAACTCTCTGTGCCCGTTAAATGCTCACTCCCATTTCCTACTCCTCCAGGCCTGGTATCCTTTCTGTTTTCTGTCTATTCACTTATGTAAATAAGTGAAATCATATATCATTTGCCTTTTATAACTGGCTTCTTTCACAGGTGACACATTTTTTGTACTGCTCAGCAACATTCTTTTATGCTTAATATCTCCTAGACATCTTTTGGGTCACTGCCTACACGTCTACAAGGAAGGGATGTTATTCCTGATTTTAAGTTGTAGAAGGTTGGGAGGCTGAGGTAGGAGAATCGCTTGAACTTGGGAGGTGGAGGTTGCAGTGAGCTGAGACCTCACCACCGCACTCCAGCCTGGGCAACAGAGTGGAGTGAGACTCTGTCTCAAAAAAAAAAAAAAATTTGTAAAAGCAGAGCCTTAGGCTAAACAATTTGCATGGGGTCACAGAATTATTTCATGTTGGAGCTGAATTTGGACACACATGTCCCAGACTGCAAATCTCTTGCTCTTTGTGCTCCCTGAGATCCACCTGTGCCTAAGGGAAGGCTGGGGGCTCTCTGGGTTACTCATTTAACCCCCAGGCACAGGGATGCCCTGGCTGTGCCCAGGAACCTAGTCCCATTTGTCCCACCTGCTTGGGCTGCCTTGTGTGAAGTGTCTGTTCTACATGATGCCCACTTGTACATCTCCCTGGGGGCAGGGCAGGAGCAGATAGGGAATGCTTCTGAGTTCTTCAGGGTCCTCGGGCTGAAGAGAAGCAGGTAGAAGGAGAAGCCACCCCTGATGTTCTGGTAACCTGGTAAGACGCGGTAGCTGCTGCTCCCTGCTGAGCCTTCGCTGGTGTGAGGCTGGGAGAGTGCTGGCTCTGTGGGGTAGGAATGCATGATGGTTTCGGTGAGTTGTGTGTGATTAAATGGTTTAAGAAAAGCATAAAAACTAGAACAGATACATCTGTATCCAGAACTCGGCTTTGTCAGACTTAAGTGTTTTGCAGTAATTGCTTCAGACACACACAAACACACACACACACACACACACACGCAAACACACCCACACTTAAATGTGCATATGCACTTAAGTACAATATTCCACAGTTGAAGCCCCTTCCCCAGTGCCATTTTCTTACCTCCTTAGATACAATCATTATCTTGGTTTGGAGACTTTCCATGCATGCTTTTGTATCTTCAGTATACTTGGGTATATACATTGTAGAAAATCTTATATAATGTATGCATCATCTACAACTTGTTTTTTTGAATCAACATTGTTTTTGAGGTTTATCCATATTGATACATGTTACTACAGTTCATTAACTTTAATTGATTTAAAGCATTCCATTGTGTGAGTAGAACAATTTATCCTTTCTCCTGTTCTTTGCTGACTTTTTGCTATTTCAGAGATTCTTCAGTGAGCATGGTTGTGTGGTTCTCAACTATGTGTGGAGCAGCTCTCTGAGATGCTAAATAACCAGGAGAGAAGTTGCTGGGTTGTAGTGTGTGCATCCTGCCTTCTCTAGGAATTCACAGTTATTGCCAGTTGGAGGGAGTGAAATGACATGATATTGTTTTAATTTACATTCCTTGATTACTAACAAGGCTAATAATTATTTCATACATTAGTTCCATTTGCATTTTTCCCTTGTGAATTGCCTGTATGTGTATTTTGCCATTTCCCCGTTGGATTGTCTTTTTCTTTTTTTTTACAGGAGGAGTTCTGTGTTTATTCTGTATATTAATCTTTTCTTTTCTTTTTTTTTTTTGGCAGTCTTCCTCTGTCACCCAGGCTGGAGTGCAGTGGTGCTGTCTTGGCTCACTGCAACCTCTGCCTCCTGCTTTCAAGCGCGTCTCCTGCCTCAGCCTCCTCAGTATCTGGGATTACAGGCACCTGCCACTACATCTGGCTAATTTTTGTATGTTTAGTAGAGACCGGGTTTTGCCATGTTGCCCAGGCTGGTCTCGAACTCCTTACCTCAAATGATCCACCTGCCTCAGCCTCCCAAAGTGCTGGGATTACAGGCATGAACCACCACATGTGGCCTGTTTTAGCTATTCTTGATCCTTTGAAATAGTGATTTTCAAAAATCTTGGGCGCAGTGGCTCAGGCTGGGCGTGGTGGCTCACACCTGTAATCCTAGCACTTTGGGAGGCTGAGGCAGACAGGTCATGAGGTCAGGAGATAAAGCCCATCCTGGCTAACATGGTGAAACTCTGGCTCTACTAAAAATACAAAAATTAGCCGGGCGTGGTGGCACACGCCCGTAGTCCCACCTACTTGAGAGGCTGAGGCAGGATAATCACTTGGACCTGGGAGACAGAAATTGCCCTGAGCTGGGATTGTGCCACTGCACTCCAGCCTGGTGAGAGAGCAAGACAGAGTTTCATTCTTATTGCCCAGGCTGGAGTGCAATGGCACAATCCTGGCTCATTGCAACTTCCACCTCCTGGGTTCAAGTGATTCTCCTGCTTCAGCCTTCCAAGTAGCTGGGATTACAGGCACCCACCACCATGCCCAGCTAATATATTGTATTTAATAGAGACAGGATTTCACCATGTTAGTCAGACTGGTCTCTAACTCCTGACAGGTGATCCACCTGCTTCGACTTTCCAAAGGGCTGGAAATACAGGCATGCACCTCTGTGCCCAGCCAAAAAATCTTTTTTCTCAATTACTTGAGTAACAAATGCTTAATGCTTATAATAAAAAATAGAGGCTATGCGTATGCGTGATGGCTCGCAACATGGTACTCCAGCTTGGGAAGAGAGATACGTTTGGGGTGAAAAGGATAATAAACAGCAGTCTAATCTCACTTCTAAGGTTGTTCAGGGTATGTGTGTATGTAATTTATGGCAGAGGGGTTACCTACTTTTTAGATTTGACATACTGGTCGGGCGCAGTGGCCCACGCCTGTAATCCTAGCACTTTGGAAGCCCGAGGTGGATGGATCACCTGAGGTCAGGAGTTCAAGACCAGCCTGGTCATGATGGTAAAACCCCATATTAAAAAAAAAAAAAATAGATTTGACATACTTTGAACATTTCCTCTTACTATCATTCAATAAGTCTTTTTTTTGTTTTTATTTTTGAGATGGAGTCTTGCTCTGTTGCCCAGGCTGGAGTGCAGTAGTGCAGTCTTGGCTCACTGTAACCTCTGCCTCCCGGGTTCAAGCCGTTCTCCTGCCTCAGCCTCCTGGGTAGCTGGAATCATAGGCGTGCACCACCATACCCAGCTGATTTTTTAATTTTTAGTAGAGGTGGGGTTTCACCATGTTGGCCAGGCTGGTCTGGAACTCCTGACCTCAAGTGATCTGCCCGCCTCAGCCTCCAAAGTGCTAGGATTACAGAGTGAGCCACCACACCCAGCTGTTTATCATTTTGTATCTTGCTTTTTTTCAGAATGGCAGTGTGTGAAGAGCTACTCCGTTCCACTGAACCGACCCTGTCACTGCAATCTTTTTTATTTTTATTTTGTTTTATTTTGGTGCTGTAACTGTCAAGGCTGGGCAGAGGCCTGGGCCCACCCACCCCTTGGTCCACTTTTTACACAACGTGGACACAACTTTGACGGTTTTTGCTGCTCCTTTCTAGACAGGGAAACAGAGACCCTGGGAGAGAAGCTGTTCCACAGCTCCTGTCACTGCATTCTAATGGCTTCTTTTTTGTTTTGTTTTTTTTTTTTGAGACAGGATCTCTGTCACCCAGGCTGGAGTGCAGCAGTACAATCATAGCTCACTGTAGCCTTGACCTCCTAGCTCAAGCAATATTCCCACCTCAGCATCCTGAGACCCTAGAACTACATGCACTGCTAATTTTTTGGTAGAGATGGGATCTTGCTATGTTGCCCAGACTGGTTTCGGACTCCTGAGCTCAAGTGATCCTCCTACCTCTGCTTCCCAAAGTACTGCGATTACAGCTGTGAGCCACTGCATCTGGCTTCTGGTAGCTTCTTTTTAACCAGGGTGTTAAAAAGAAGTGCTTGTTGTCCACCTGCTGTGTACCAGGCCCCACCTAACTCTGTCTCTTTGCCAGGTGTCCTGGAGCCCTCTGATGGTTTTCCTTCTTCCATTTTCAACCTTAACTCTCAAATGCACATTTCATTTACTCATCAAGTGCCTCCTGAATCTGGGTTGGTCTGGCGAGGCCAGGCCGGGCTAAGTTTGCTCTCCATTTCCTGTTCACATCCACCCGAAGGCTCTCGCTGGCCCTGACACATTGCATGTGTTGAGTATTTCAGGCCCTGGCCTTTTAGCAGCCCTCTAAGGCAGGGCCTACCTGTAGCCCCATTCCAAAGATGGGGTAACTAAGGTTCAGAGAGGTGAAGTCACCTGTCCAGCATCACAAGTAGCAGAGCCAGGCTGGCCCTGGCCTGGCCCTTACCTCCAAGCTCATGTAGCGGGCTTTCTCTCCACCCACCAGGGGTCTTAGACAAGTGGTTTGGGAAGCCCCATTTCTGTGATCTTGACAGTCCTGAGAGTTCACAGGGCATTTGGCACCTTCCCCCATGTTACAATGGGAACCAAGGTGCTGAGAGGGGAAGGCGTCCTGGCTCCTGGATACCACCTCTCCCTCTCTGCCAGCTGGAGGCCGGAACAGTTAGGACAAAGGGTGTCTGGTGGTGGCAGCAGCTCTGCACTCACAGCCCAGCCGTCTGACCTGGGGGTGGGCGGATGAGGGGGAAGGAGGAATCCAGGCTGGGCAGAGGCCTGGGCCCACCCACCCCTTGGTCTACTTTTTATACAATGTAGACACATCTTTGACAGTTTTGCAGCTCCTTTCTCTCCCAGGAGACCCTGGGAGAGAAGCTGTTCCACAGCTCCGACAGGACACAACGCCAGCTGGGAGAGCCAAGCACAGGGAGGGTAAGCAGGGGCACTTCCCATAACATTGAGATAGCCCTGCCACCCCCCCACCTCAAACACTCCCTTCCCTTCTGGGGCATTTTTGACCACACCTAGGTACACCCCATGCATGGCTCTAAGGTGGAATCTGCTCCATCTAAGTGGCCCACCCTGGAAGTGCTGCCTGTCTGGGCCCACTGCAAATCCAGGTTCGAAGGCCACCTCTGTCACTTCCAGGCTGTGTGAAGTTGGGCAGAGGATTTCTGTCTCCGAGCCTGTTTCCCGGTTAAAAAATGGATATTGGCCGGGTGCGGTGGCTCACGCTGGTAATCCTAGCACTTTGGGAGGCTGAGGCGGTTGGATCACGAGGTCAGGAGTTCAAGACCAGCCTGGCCAAGATGGTGAAACCCTATCTCTGCTAAAAAAAAAAAAAAAAAAAAAAAATACAAAAATCAGCCAGGCGTCTATAATCCCAGCTACTCGGGAGGCTGAGGCAGGAGAATTGCTTGAACCTGGGAGGCAGAGGTTGCGGGGAGCTGAGATCTCGCCACTGCACTCTAACCTGAGCGACAGAGCAAGACTCTGTCTCTCAAAAAAAAAAAAAAAAGGACACCAGGAATATTACTCAACCTTCAAAAAAAGGACATTCTGATATGTGTTAGACGTGGGTGAGCCTTGAGGACATTATATTAAGTGATAGAGCCCATCACAAAAGGACAAATGCTGTGCGATTCCACTTACATGAGGTCCCTAGGGAGGCAAAGACAGGAATTGGAACGGGGTGCCAGGAGGCGATGGGGGGAAGGGGCATCGTGATTAATGGGTGCGGGGTTTCAGTTTGACAAGATGAACAGAGTTCCATGTATGGTGGTGATGTTTGCACAACAGTGAATGTGCTTCATGCCACTGAACTGTACCCTTAAATATGGGCAAGATGGTAAATTTTAAGTTACGTGAGTTTTATGACAGTCTAAAACTGGGAAAAATATGGACTGGAAACAATGGCACCTCCTGGCTTGTGGGGAGAATCTGGCCTTGGCCTTGATTGTCTGTTTCTTAACCGGAACTGTTCTCTTGTGGGTGTCTGGTCTTCTGCAGTCCTGAGCTCCTGGGTGGGTCCCTGCACTGGGCCCCTCCGTGGGGATTCCTCAGGGCTGGGCGGGGAGAGGAAGGGCCCAGGTTGCTTGGCTTTAGTTCCCTCCCCTGCCCCAGCCCCAACCCACATCCACCTGAAACTGCTGCCGGCCTCCCCACCACACCTGGGGCCCACGCCCTGCAACGCCCCACCCTACCTTGTCCCCTTTCAGGCACTCTTTGGGAGAGCCTCTGAGTGTATGGAGCCCTTATGTATGCAGTTGACTCCTGTCCTCACAGAGAATCCGGCCTCACTAGGTGCTGAGGAGGTGGAGGAAAGATTATTCCAAGCCTGGGCTGACTGTGCCCCACTCTGCACAAAGCAGTTTAAAAGCATTTGTGGGCCGGGCATGGTGGGTCGTGCCTGTAATCCCAGCACTTTGGGAGGACAAAGCAGGTGGATCACCTGAGGTCAGGAGTTCGAGACCAGCCTGGCCAACATAGTGAAACCCGGCCTCTACTAAAAATACAAAAAAAATTAGCCAGGCATGACAGCACACACCTGTAATCCTGCTACTGGGAAGGCTGAGGACAGAGAATCACTTGAACCTGAGAGTCAGAGGTTGCAGTGAGCCAAGATCACGCCATTGCACTCCAGCCTGGGTAACAGAGTAAGACTCTGTTTTTAAAAAAAAAAAAAAAAAAAAATTTGGGGAATGGGTGCAGTGGCTCACACTTGTAATCCCAGGACTTTGGGAGGCCAAGGCGGGCAGATAGCTTGAGGTCAGGAGTTCGAGACCAGCCTGACCAACATAATGTAACCCTGTCTCTACTAAAATACAAAAATTAGCAGGGTGTGGTGGTGGGCATCTGTAATCCTAACTACTTGGGAGACTGGGGGAGGAGAATCGCTTGAACCCAGGAGGTGGAGGTTGCAGAGAGCCAAGATCGTGCTGCTGCACTCCAGCCTGGGTGACAGAGTGAGACTCCATCTCAAAATAAAAATAAAAGCATTTGGTTCCCTAAACTTGGCAGGTACAGTGGCTCATGCCCATAGTCCTAGCTACTTAGGAATCTGACATGGAAGAATCACTCAAGTCCAGGGGTTCAAGGCCAGATAGGCAACATGGCAAGACCCCATCTCTAAAAAAATTGTTTTAATTAGCCTAGTGTGAGGCCTGGCACAGTGGCTCATGCCTGTAATCTCAGTACTTTGGGAAGCTGAGGTGGGTGGATCACGAGGTCAGGAGTTTGAGACCAGCTTGACCAACATGTTAAAATCCCGTCTCTACTAAAACACAAAAATTAGCCAGGCATGGTGGTTCATGCCTGTAATCCCAGCTACTCAGGAAACTGAGACAAGAGAATCGCTGAACCTGGGAGGCAAAGTTTGCAGTAAGCTGAGATCATGCCACTGCACTCTAGCCTGGGCAACAGAGCGAGACTCTGTCTCAAAAAAAAAAAAAAAAAATTAGTCCAGTGTGGTAGTGCACACCTATAGTCCCGCTATGCTGGAAGCTGAGGCAGGAGGATTGCTTGAGGCCAGGAGTTTGAGATCAGCTTGGGCAACATAGCAAGACCCCGTCCCATTTAATTAAAATAATTCTGTGGCCTTCTCCCAGCAGCCCTGTGTGGTATTGTGCCCTTCATGTATGTGAAGAAACAGGCTGCAAGCGGCGAGGAGCTTGTCCAAGGTCCCACAGCGAGGCCGCCAAAGTCCAGGCCCACAGCTTGGTCCTGGCTTCACCGCTTCATCCTCGGGAAGAGCTGCATGAGAGGGAGCCCACCGTGCAGGGGACAGGCAGGGCCTCTGACCGCCAGGCTGGCTCCTGGTGGAGTGGGGCTCCTCTTCCCCATAGCTTTGGGAACTGAACCCTGGATTTGGTGCCTGTACCCTGTTTCCTGATCTCCCCCAAAACCTCATCAGAGAGGGGCAGTGACTTGTCCAGAATCACACAGCAGAGGATGAGGAATTGGCACAGCTGGGGGTGACCCCTCTGGACAGGTCACCCTCACAGGGGTAGGCCCAGTGTCAGCCGAGCCAGGCCCAAGAGAGACTCCAGTCGAGGCTCTTCTCAGCTCTGCAGTAGGCCTCTCAGAATCCCAGAGCCCTCCCCCCACCACACTCACACAGTGGAGAGAGGAACCGAAGCCGAAGTCCCACCTTGGTCACTTTGTTTTGCCCCCACTGGACCTAGCCAAGGGCTGAACAATGTCCAGATGCGCCCAGGCCAAGGGCAGAGTGGGGCGGGTGGTCAGAGTCACTCCTGAACAGGATGGGGTTTCCTGCCTTGGGCCGGTGGGGTCGTTTGACCTCTGTGACACCTGTGACTGAGCTGGGAACACTTCCTGCCTCAGAAGCAGAAGCAGGAGTCTGGATGGTGCAGACAAGCCCCGGGGCGATGGGGCTAGGGCGGCTCCTCACAGAGGAAGCTGGTGTTTCTGTGAGCAAATACTCCCCACTCCCCAAACAACGAGGCAGTATCACTGCCACCACATCCTGCTCGTTCAAGCAGCCACGCCCACCCTGGCAGTCTCATTCCAGACTCCGGGGCAGGCAGGCTGCAGCAGGCACCGGCCCCTCTCCTCTCAGCCTCTCCCCCTGCTTCCGTTCCCAAGTCGTTAGGCCCTGGCCCTGGATGGGGACTCCAGGTGTCTGCGTGTCACAGTGGAGGCAGCTGTGTGATTCAGCAGGCCCTCCCAATGCCGCTTTCTTTCCCAGCAGTGTGGGTGGTGTGTGGACCCAGCTGGTCATTAGAGGGCCCGGGCCTTCCTGTGGGGTGGTGCTTGCCTGGGCTTGCCCTGGCCCGTGAGTCCTGGCATCGCTAGGAGGGCTGTCTTCTGGGCTGGAGCTGCCCATCCAGGGCGGGCAGTGGTGTCTGCTGGCCCCTTGGTGACCGGAGTGCTGTGAACGCTGAGGGTGGGGAAGCTGCACTCCTGGGCCCATTTCTCTTAGCACTGCCTGGCTGGGACCTTGGGCAGGTGGAGGGCAAGCCCCACATTGTGGCAAGGACCTGAGCCCGGCGGTGGGGGGACAGAGTTTGTTGAAATCTGGGTTTGTTATTTTTGTTTTGTTTTGAGATCGAGTCTCACTCTGTCACCCAGGCTGGAGTACAGTGGCGCAATGTTGTCTCAGTGCAACCTCTGCCTCCTGGGTTCAAGCAATTCTCCTGCCTCAAGCCTCCTGAATAGCTGGGACTACAGGCACATGCCACCATACCCGGCTAATTATTTAAGTAGAAATAGGGTTTTGCCCTGTTAGCCAGGGCTGGGTTTGTTCTTACTCTACTCTGCCACTCAATAGCAGGGTGACATTGACAGGTAATGTCACCTCCCTGAGCCTTCGCACCCCCATCTGTGGAATGGGGCTAAAGACTCCTGGTCTCTTGGGCATCAAAGGGACCCTGGGAGGGCCTGCAGGGGAGGCCTGCCTGGTGCCTGGCACACTTCCAGCCCCTCAGCACCAGCTGTGGCCATTGTTACCCTGCTGAGTGTCCCATTCTACCTGCTTCACATAGAGTCTTGCTCTGCCTTCCTCCTGCCCTCCCCATCCCAGAAAAGCCTAGAAATATCAGGGATGGGGAATGTTTGGCATTTGCAGAGAGGTGCTGTTCTTGAAGAGTTCCTTACTAGGCTGGGCACAGTTGCTCAACCCTGTAATCCCAGCACTTTGAGAGGCGAAGGCAGGTGGATTGGTTGAGGCCAGGAGTTCAAGACCAGCCTGGCCAACATGGTGAAACCCCGTCTCAACTAAAAATACAAAAACTAGCTGAATGTGGTGGAGGGTGCCTGTAGTCCCAGCCGCTTGGGAGATGGAGACATGAGAATGGCTTGAACCCAGGAGACAGAGGTTGCAGTGAGCCAAGATCATGCCACTGCACTTCAGCCTGGGTGACAGAGTGAGATTGTCTCAAAAAGGAAAAAAATAATTTGTTACTCTTCTGATTATTAATATGATCAGTAATCAAAGGAAGGTGGCCCATTATCTGGGCACCGCTATTTCTCTTAGGAGAGAAACATTTGACATAGGCATTTAAAATTTGGTTTAGAAATCTCGGTACTAGGTTACGGTGTAAAGTAAAAATAGACTATAAAGTAAAAGCACAATTTTGCCAAGTGAGGTGACTCATGCCTGTAATCTCAGGACTTTGGGAGGCTGAGGCGGGTGGATCGCCTGAGGTCAAGAGTTCAAGATCAGCCTGGCCAATGTGGTGAAATTCTGTTAAAACTAAAAATACAAAAATTAGCTGGGTGTGGTAGTGTGTGCCTGTAATCCCAGATATTTGGGAGGCTGAGGCAGGAGAACCCAGGAGGTGGAGGCCGCAGTAAGCCAAGATTGCACCACTGCATTCCAGCCTGAGGGACAGTGAGACTCTGTCTATAAATAAATAAATAAAAGCACAATTTATTTTAATAAATATATAGAAACAGCAGGGCGTAGTGACTCACTCCTGTAATCCCAACGAGAGGCCAAGGTGAGGGGATTGCTTGAGGCCAGGAGTTCAAGACCAACTTGGTCAACATCGCGAGTTCCTGTCTCTACAAAAAATTTTAAAAATTAGCCAGGCATGGTGGTACACACCTGTAGTCCAGCTGGTGGCATACTCCCCCAGCTACCTGGGGGAGGCTGAGGTAGGAGGATTGCTTGACCAGGAGGTCGAGGCTGCAGTGAGCCATGATCATGCCACTGTACTCTAGTTTGGGCAACAGAGTAAGATCCGGTCTCTTAAAATAAAAATTTTAAAATTCTAAAAGAATACACAGAAAGGACTGGAAGGTTGTTATTCAGTGAAAAGCTAACAGTCATTAGCTTTAGTCATTCAGTGAAAAGCTCATCATTCCTGGCGGTGATTGTACATGGGATTCTTTTTTTTTTTTTTTGCCATTATGCTTTTCTACAATTTTCTGTACATTCTCCAGGGAACATCTAGTACCTTTTTTCTCCTTGATGGCCTTACAGAACATTGTAAGGAGAACCTGCCTTGGCCACATGATCATGAATGGCCACAGAGAGGTGTTCTCACGGAGATCTTGTTGTGTGGCACAGGCTGGGTTTCCTAATGTGGCTTCTGAGCCACTGTTTCCTAAGCTTGGCCATCATTAGTGTCACCAAAGTTTGTGTTAAAAATCAGGTTCTGGCCAGGCGCGGTGGCTCACGCCTATAATCCCAGCACTTTGGGAGGCCGAGGCGGGTAGATCACGAGGTCAAGAGATAGAGACCGTCCTGGTCAACAAGGTGAAACCCCGTCTCTACTAAAAATACAAAAATTAGCTGGGCATGGTGGTGGGAGCCTGTAGTCCCAGCTACTCGGGGGGCTGAGGCAGGAGAATTGCTTGAACCCAGAAGGTGGAGGTTGCGGTGAGCCGAGATCGTGCCATTGCACTCCAGTTTGGGTAACAACAACGAAACTCCGTCTCAAAAAAAAAGATCAGGTTCCTGGCTGGGCACAGTGGCTCATGCCTGTAATCTCAGCACTTTCAGAGGCTGAAGCGGGCGGGTCATGAGGTTGAAAGATCAAGACCATCCTGGCCAATATGGTGAAACCCCATCTGTACTAAAAAATACAAAAATTAGCTGGGCGTGGTGGCGTGCGCATGTAGTCCCAGCTACTCAGGTGACTGAGGCAAGAGAATCACTTGAACCCAAGAAGCAGAGGTTGCAATGAGCCTAGATCGCAGCACTGCACTCCAGAGTGGCAACAGAGTGAGACTCCGTCTCAGAAAAAAAGAAAAATCAGGTTCCCAGCATCTCTCCATAGTAGTCAAACTGTACTCTTTCGGGGAGAGCCTGCTGTTGCTGCTGTTTTTCATTCCTTTATACACATGTAACCAGAGATGATTTTACATTAAGACCTCTCTCTGATCACCCAGTTCATGGGGGAGGAAAGTCTTATTCTTAATCCCCTCTTTTGAGGCCACTCCCCCAGGAGCCTGTCATTAAGACCCGTTGTGTGACCTTTGATCTTCTGCGTGTTCCCGGAATCCTGTACGTGCATAACTATACACACATGGTGGAATGTTTCTGTTGTTGTTGAGGCAAGGTCTCTGTCACCTAGGCTGGAGTACAGTGACGGGATCATAGCTCACTGCAGCTTCGACCTCCTGGACTCAAGCGATCCTCCCACCTCATCTTCCCAAAGTGCTGGGATTACAGGCGTGAGCCACTGTTCCAGCCCCCATGTGGACTTTTTAAATCTTGCTATTTGGTTTATGGATTCACCTTGCACCCCCTCTGCAGGTTACTCTTTCCTCGTACTTTGCGGGAATCCCTCCAACTCATGGTTGCAGCTTCACAGCAGCTGGTTCCCAGTGAACCGGGAGGTTTTTTGTTTTTTTGTTTTTTTTTCAGACAGAGTTTCACTGTTGTTACCCAGACTAGGGTGCAATGGCACGATCTTGGCTCACCGCAACCTCTGCCTCCTGGGTTCAAGCAATTCTCCTGCCTCAGCCTCCTGAGTAGCTGGGACTACAGACGTGTGCCACCATGCCCAGCTAATTTTTGTATTTTTAGTAGAGATGGGGATTCACCTTGTTGACCAGGATGGTCTCGGACTCTTGACCTCATGATTCACCCGCCTCGGCCTCCCTGTTTTGTTTTTCTTGAGATGGAGTTTCGCCCTTTTTGGCCAGGTTGGAGTATAATGGCATGATCTCAGCTCACCGCAATTTCTGCCTCCTGGGTTCAAGTGATTCTCCTGTGTCAGCCTCCTGAGTAGCTGGGATTACAGGCATGCACCCCCATGCCCAGCTAATTTTGTAATTTTAGTAGAAATGGGGTTTCTCCATGTTGGTCAGGCTGGTTTCAAACTCCCGACCTCAGATGATCCACCCTCCTTGGCCTCCCAAAGTGCTAGAATTACATGTGTGAGCCACCACGCCGTGCCTAACTGGGAGTTTTAAATGTGTCCTTCTGGTCAATCTGATCGTTAAATGGGTGGACTCTAGAGAGGAGTTCCCGAATGCTCTTACTGGAATGCAAGGGGGTGGGGCAGAGAACCCTGAGGCTCCACTAGGGATCTGTCTCATCTCACTGTGTTCAGTCTTCCTGTGTGTTAAATGAGGAGCCTGCCTGCCTCCCCCAGGGTGGTTTCCCAGCCAAGTGGCCACATGATTTCTGCAGAAGGGCTAAGTGGGCTGCCCCATGGAGTGGGCAGGCTTTGGCTCCAAGCTAGATTTGAGATGGAATTTTGGACAGTGGTAGAATTTTCTTTGTCCTCTTCCCCTGACCCCTGCGTCCTAGGAAAGCCAGGCCACCCTGCGCTAACCCCCTCCTGTGGGTCCCTTTTAGGTTAAACCATGATTCCGGTGACAGAGCTCCGCTACTTTGCGGACACGCAGCCAGCATACCGGATCCTGAAGCCGTGGTGGGATGTGTTCACAGACTACATCTCTATCGTCATGCTGATGATCGCCGTCTTCGGGGGAACGCTGCAGGTCACCCAAGATAAGATGATCTGCCTGCCTTGTAAGTGGGTCACCAAGGACTCCTGCAATGACTCGTTCCGGGGCTGGGCAGCCCCAGGCCTAGAGCCCACCTACCCAAACTCCACCATTCTACCGACCCCTGACACGGGCCCCACAGGCATCAAGTATGACCTGGACCGGCACCAGTACAACTATGTGGACGCCGTGTGCTACGAGAACCGGCTGCACTGGTTCGCCAAGTACTTCCCCTACCTGGTGCTCCTGCACACGCTCATCTTCCTGGCCTGCAGCAACTTCTGGTTCAAATTCCCACGCACCAGCTCGAAGCTGGAGCACTTTGTGTCTATCCTGCTGAAGTGCTTTGACTCACCCTGGACCACGAGGGCCCTGTCTGAGACAGTGGTGGAGGAGAGCGACCCCAAGCCGGCCTTCAGCAAGATGAATGGATCCATGGACAAGAAGTCCTCGACTGTAAGTGAGGATGTGGAGGCCACTGTGCCCATGCTGCAGCGGACCAAGTCACGGATCGAGCAGGGCATCGTGGACCGCTCGGAGACAGGTGTGCTGGACAAGAAGGAGGGGGAGCAGGCCAAGGCGCTGTTTGAGAAGGTGAAGAAGTTCCGGACCCACGTGGAGGAGGGGGACATTGTGTACCGCCTCTACATGCGGCAGACCATCATCAAGGTGATCAAATTCATCCTCATCATCTGCTACACTGTCTACTACGTGCACAACATCAAGTTCGACGTGGACTGCACCGTGGACATTGAGAGCCTGACAGGCTACCGCACCTACCGCTGTGCCCACCCCCTGGCCACGCTCTTCAAGATCCTGGCATCCTTCTACATCAGTCTGGTCATCTTCTATGGCCTCATCTGCATGTACACGCTGTGGTGGATGCTGCGGCGCTCCCTTAAGAAGTACTCGTTTGAGTCGATCCGTGAGGAGAGCAGCTACAGCGACATCCCCGACGTAAAGAACGACTTCGCCTTCATGCTGCACCTCATCGACCAGTATGACCCGCTCTACTCCAAGCGCTTCGCCGTCTTCCTGTCGGAGGTGAGTGAGAACAAGCTGCGGCAGCTGAACCTCAACAACGAGTGGACACTGGACAAGCTCCGGCAGCGGCTCACCAAGAACGCGCAGGACAAGCTGGAGCTGCACCTGTTCATGCTCAGTGGCATCCCTGACACCGTGTTTGACCTGGTGGAGCTGGAGGTCCTGAAGCTTGAGCTGATCCCTGACGTGACCATCCCACCCAGCATTGCCCAGCTCACAGGCCTCAAGGAGCTGTGGCTCTATCACACAGCGGCCAAGATTGAGGCACCTGCACTAGCCTTCCTGCGCGAGAACCTGCGGGCGCTGCACATCAAGTTCACTGACATCAAGGAGATCCCACTGTGGATTTACAGCCTGAAGACACTGGAGGAGCTTCACCTGACAGGCAACCTGAGTGCAGAGAACAACCGCTACATCGTCATCGACGGGCTGCGGGAGCTCAAACGCCTCAAGGTCCTGCGGCTCAAGAGCAACCTGAGCAAGCTGCCACAGGTGGTCACAGATGTGGGCGTGCACCTGCAGAAGCTGTCCATCAACAATGAGGGCACCAAGCTCATCGTCCTCAACAGCCTCAAGAAGATGGCGAACCTGACTGAGCTGGAGCTGATCCGCTGCGACCTGGAGCGCATACCGCACTCCATCTTCAGCCTCCACAACCTGCAGGAGATCGACCTCAAGGACAACAACCTCAAGACCATCGAGGAGATCATCAGCTTCCAGCACCTGCACCGCCTCACCTGCCTTAAGCTGTGGTATAACCACATTGCCTACATCCCCATCCAGATCGGCAACCTCACCAACCTGGAGCGCCTCTACCTGAACCGCAACAAGATCGAGAAGATCCCCACCCAGCTTTTCTACTGCCGCAAGCTGCGCTACCTGGACCTCAGCCACAACAACCTGACCTTCCTCCCCGCCGACATCGGCCTCCTGCAGAACCTCCAGAACCTGGCCATCACGGCCAACCGGGTGAGTGGCCTGGCCACGGCTCGGCATGTGGGCCGGCAGGCGGCCTGGCCGGGGCCTGTGGTGGGACGCTCTGCAGGCCCAGTGTCCTGGGACCAATGCCCCTGAGTGTGGAGTCCTCACTGGGGTTTACAGAACTACCCAGGAGGGAAGCTTTGTTCAAGAGACAGACTCCTGGGACCCCATGCCCAGCCTGCCGAATTCCAGTCTCTGGGCCCAGGGGCCTGTCTTTGCTCCAGAATGCTGCAGTTCTCCTATCTGGAGAGACTGTATGGCCAGGCAGGCCTGTCCTTGAGCCCAGTTCCTCTTTAGCAGGGATGTGCATGGGCAGGAGGTCTGAGGCCAGGGGTTCTCTCGCAAAGCCAGGTGATAGGAGTCAAGACTTGTCCTGGAGTGTCTTCCTCAGCTTGTTCTCAGTCAGATTTGGAGGCAAGGGGCCAGTCCGGGTCTACCTGGGACAGAAACTGTGTGTGGCCAGTGCTGGCTGAGGGGAAACCGGATGGTCTCTGTGGCTCCCAGCATCTCTCACACATCTTTCTCCACTGTATTTGGTGGTGTCAAAGGCAGAGTTGGGCTTAGTTGGGGCTAGCTTGTCACTGCCTACCTTTCTGGAAAGGAAATTGTGCAAATCATTGTAACCGGGAGTTTGGGAGGCCATATCCTTGACATACTTTCAAGACTGTTGGTGGCCTGTGGGTGCCAGTCCCTTCCTGGCTGGGGAAGCTCCCATCCAAGGGCCCCTTGGTGGAGGCAGTGTGGATGGAGGGCTGGGTACTCCTGTGGCTCTGTGGTCTGGCCGCCAAAGTGGAAACAGAGCTGCTGCCATTGCGGGGACCCTCCCTCGTCCACCTCTCCTGGGGACCTGCCGGTCCTCCTGGGCCTCACATTCAAGAGGTTCCTGCAGTGAGGCAGATGGTAGAGGAAGCCTGAGGACAGGGCCTGGGAGACAAAAGCCAAAACAGCCACCGCTTCCGCCCTGACACAGCAGCAGCTGTCGTGCTGGGCCCCTAACAACTTCACTAGGGATGACACCAGTTTCAAGAGGCTAAAGAAGAGACCTGGAGTTAACCAGGCACAGTGAGTCACACCTGTAATCTGAGCACTTAGGGAAGCTAAGGTGCGACGATGACTTGAGCTCAGGAGTTTGAGACCAGCCAGGGCAGCATAGGGAAACCTCATCTCTATCAAAAATACAGAAATTATCCAGGCATGGTGGCAAGTGCCTGTAGTCCCAGCTACTTGGGAGGCTGAGGCAGGATGGCTTCGGCCTAGGAGTTCGAGACTGCAGTGAGCTATGATTTTACCACTGTACTCCAGCCTGGGCAATAGAGTGAGACCCAGTCTCTTTTTTTTTTTTTTTTTTCTTTGAGACAGAGTCTCCCACTACTGCCTGGGCTAGAGTGCAATGGCACGATCTCAGCTCACTGCAACCTCTGCCTCCCAGGTTCAAGCGATTCTCCTGCCTCAGCCTCCCAAGTAACTAGGATTACAGGCACCCACCATCATGCCCGGCGAATTTTTTGCATTTTCGGTAGAGACAGGGTTTCACACCATGTTGGCCAGGCTAGTCTTGAACTCCTGGCCTCATGATCCACCTACCTCAGCCTCCCATAGTGCTGGGATTACAGGCATAAGCCGTTCCCGGCTGAGACCCAGTCTCAAAAAAAAGAAAAGAGCCCTGGAGCCAGCAAATGAAACATGAGGTGTATTTGGGGAACTTACCAGTTAGCACAATGCATAGAAGCTCTGCTGGAGCACCAGGTTCTTGGGAACACAGAGGAACAGGCCCCTGAAGGACATGGAGGAGGAAGCCAGGTGGAGGGGAAAGGGAGAGTCCAGGAGGTTCTGGTAGGCCAGCAGCAGTGAGCCAAATAGGAAAACCGCTCCTGCTCATATAAAGCATGCAGTTTCTAGAGCATTTTCACTTAGCACCCTCCCCTCCGCAGCCTCCATGTGGCAATTCACATTTCTTAGTAGGCTTGTTGCTGTTGGGTGCATCTGCCATTCAGCACAAGGTGAAGTCCCTGTTGGTTTAGTGAGCACCTGCTCTGTGTTCACCCTGTGCCGGCATGACCTGCCTGTCCTCTTTCCACCAACCCACTGAGTCCTCCCAACAGAATCTGTCTCTACATCCCCGGGCACAGAGGGAGGTGGCTCCTGGAATGCCCAGTCTGTCCTCCCCAGCCCCAGGATAGGACACACCTTCTCCAGCATCACTCAGACCGGAGGCTTCAGGCCCTCCAGATGCCTGCTGGCCTGGCAGCCTCCCTCCCCTCCTCCCCAGGGCTCTCTTATTACAGATCGGCCTGCAACTCACATGTATCAGGGATGTTGTCAGGTCTCTCCGGCTACCCCATATGATGACTTGAGCACAGCGGGAGAGTGTACCAGGGCAGGGTTTTCTCTTGCAATTCTGGGGCAGGCCCACTGAATAGGAAAATTGGAGTCCCCTGGGGAGAAGTCACATGTGGAAAGCACAGAACAAATCCAACCCTTCTTTATAGAGTGGGATCCTGTGGCTTCCCCATGGCCCTTGATGAGCTCGGGTTTTCCCCACAGCTCCTGTTGTGCCTGTTCTGTCCCGGGTGCTGTGTGCTAGGGCTGTCCTGGCTCAGGGAGGGTTTGAGCCTCCAGCCTGGCTCCCCATCCTGTCCCTCATCCCCTGCTCCTCCCACCAGCCTTGCCTGTTAGTGTCATGCCTGTTGGCTGAGGTCACCCCTCAGGAAAGGAGCTGGCGGCAGGCATGCTGTCCCAGAGGAAGGAGACCCTCTGGACACCCTGTTTAGCACACAGCTTAATCACATCCTGTCCCCGCCCCCTGGAACTCCAGAGCCTTAAAAGGGAAAACAGTTTCCTTGGGCCAGTCCCAGGCAGGCCCCTCATTTTAAGTGGGAGGCCTGAGCCCCTCTTTCTCCTCACTCGGGCTCCACAGCTCCTCAGCTGACTTGGCCGGTGGTGACCAGGAGGGGTGGGCGTGGCCTGAATAGGCCCTTGGGTGCTGTTTCTCCAGATTTAAATTCTTGCTAATGAAAGCCTTGACAAAACAGGTATTCATTCACTCAGTTGTTCACTGATTTGTGCAAATTGGGTGCCTTTTTTTTTTTAAGAGACCAGGTCTCACTTTGTTTTCTAGGCTGGTCTTAAACTCCTGGCCTCAAAGCCTTCCACCTTGGCCTCCCAAAGTGCTGGTATTACAGGCATGAGCCACTGCACCTGGCCTTTGTGCAAATGTTTTTTGAGCCCTCCTAGAATCCAGCTATGGAGTGAGGCACTGGGGACACAGGGATGAAGGCCAAGTCACCAGGCAGTTAGCACAGTGCATAGGAGCTCTGCTGGAACACCAGGTCCCTGGAAACACAGAGGAACAGGCCCCTGAAGGACAAGGAGGAGGAAGCCAGGTGGAGGGGAAAGGGAGAGTCCAGGAGGTTCTGATGGGGAGGAGCCATGAGATGGGCTGCCCAGGAATGTGGGCATCCTGGAGAGCAGAGGCCGGGCTGTGGTAGGGGTGTTGGCCGGCAGGAGGGTCCGTCCTCCACCTCAGTTTCAGTTGTCTCTTCATTTGTTTAATAGCCAGTCCCTTAGGCAGGGCACAATGGCTCACCCTATAATCTCAGCACTTTGGGAGGCCAAGGTGGGCAGATCATGAGGTCAGGAGTTTGAGACCAGCCTGACCAATATGGTGAAACCCCATCTCTACTAAAAATACAAAAATTAGCCCAGGCATGGTAGCAGGCACCTGTAATCCCAGCTATTCAGGAGGCTGAGGCAGGAGAATCGCTTGAACCCGGGAGACGGAGGTTACAGTGAGCCGAGATTGCACCACTGCACTATGGCCTGGGTGACAGAACAAGACTCCGCCTTGGGGAAAAAAAAAAGAAAGAAAAACAGCTGGTCCCTTGCCAGCCCATGGGCTTTGATGACTAAGACCTAGCTCTTTTGTTCAAAGTCGGTCGAACAGCAAATGTTTACCAAATTCCTAGTGATTGAGTGGGTGAAGGAATGAGCTGGCTTACAACGTGAGCTTCCTCTTGCTGTAGTGTGTGGGGTGGGTAAGAGGTAGGAGAGTGGAAGAGAGCTGTTAGGAGGCTGTGATTAACCATCAGGTGAGGCCATGAGGCCTGGCGTGGCCACGGCCGCTAGGTATGGAGAGGCATGGACGGATCTGGAAGATGCTGGCAGAGGGGGCATCCAAAGGGACGGGGTTGATGGTGGAGGTGGTCTGAGTGACTGAGGTTTTTTGCGTGGATTGTTAAGACTGGAGCAGGCAGGTTTTCAGAGGCCAAGGTGTGTCTCATGTCAGGTGTCTGGGGCCCAGGATGTCCAGGGGACCACACTGAATCCACCTGAAGCTCAAAGAGTTACCCTTTCCAGGCTCATGGGTCCTTGACACGGTGACACCCAAGAGGGGTCCTTGACACGGTGACTGTGGAGAGCAGAGAGGGAGGAGGACAGGAGTCTGCGGAAGAAGAGGACATGGCCAGAGCTGGGTTAGGAACTGGTGATTTTGGCAAGAGTTAAGGGTGAAAGAGGACAGAAGCCGGGTGATGGAGGTGGAGTGAGGAGATAGACAGCGGCTTTCCGGTGGTTGGTTGGGAAGGTCAGAGAGCCAAGGACAGTGGAGGGGCCCTGGAAGCCTCCTGGGAAAGTTGTCTTTTTCAAAGATCAGGTAGAGTTGAGGCCTTTCAGTGCTGATGGGGACCCGTTGAAGTCCCTGGGGAGGTCAGAGCAGGTGCAATTGAGGGATTGGGGACCAACTTCAAGCCTCCAGGGCCCGGGCAGGCGACACTTCTAAGGGAGAGGATAGGTCCAGAGGATGGGTGTGGCTGTGGTGGGAGCCAAGCAACTGAAAGTACCTCCCCTTTCCTCTGTGGGGCCTGGAGAGGGCTCCCTGCCTCAGAGCAGGGCATGTTCGGGGAGGAAGCCTTTAAGGGAGGGTACTCTAGAGCCAGACTCCATGTGGACCTAAACTCTGCCACCTGCTGGCTGGAGCTTTCCTGCGGTCCCTGACCACTGAGTGTGTCAGGAGAGGAGGTCACAGGGTGGGAGTGGGGCCTTTCTGGGAAGGTTCTGGCCCCTGAGTCCCGCAGATCCCACTTCCCGTCTGCCCCCTGACCTTCAGCCCTGGTGACCTCAAAGCCAACCCCCAGACATATTCCCAATCCCGGGCCACAATGGTGGCAGTGTAGGATTCCCCAGGCCGGGAGCCTCCTTGAAAGCACTTGCTGCACCCAGGCCAGGCGTGGTGGCTCACACCTGTCATGCTAGCACTTTGGGTGGTCAAGGCAGGCGGATCACCTGAGGTCAGGAGTTCAAGACCAGCCTGGCCGACATGGTGATACCCTATCTCTATAAACAATACAAAAATTAGCCAGACATGGTGGCGTGTACCTGTAATCCTAGCTACTCAGGAAGCTGAGGCAGGAGAATTGCTTGAACCTGGGAGGCGGAGGTTACAGTAAGCCACGATTGTGCCACTGCACTCTCTGGGTGACAGAGTGAGACTCCGTTCCCGCCCCCACACACACACAAAGAAAAGAAAGCACTCTGCTGGGCCTTGGCCGTGCTTAGTTCCTGCTGGGAAAGCCAGGCTGCTACCCAGGGACTGAGGTCCTCCTCCAAAAATGGCCAGGGAGTGTGTCCGTGACGTTGAGATCAAGTCTACAAAAAGGTCCTGAGCCACTGAATGTCCAAGCTCAGAGCATTTCTAGTCCAAACTGTGCCTTTTACAGATGGGGAAACTGAGCCCCAGAGAGGGAGGGGACTTCCAGGGTTACCTGGTAACTGAGTACCCTATTTGGCAGAAGGAACAAATAGCATGGGCTGTTCGTGGGAGGAAGGAAGCAAGGCATGCATCCTGTCCTGGCCCTTTCGGAAAGGCCACAACCTCAGACGAGTGGCATGTCATCTCTCCCAGCCTCAGTCTCCTTGGCAGGAAAATGGGGGCGGCCATAGAGCAACCTCAGAAAGGCTACTGTGCAGTAGTCTCCCCATCCTCACTTGGGATTGGGGCCCAGGGCTCCTGACTCCTGCCCTCCTCCTCGCTCCCATCTGAAGGAGGCCGCTTTGGGACAGTCAGGCCCAGTAAGAACTCACGGCCCCAGCTGATTCATCGCAGCAGGGCAGGGAAGAAGCTGGCATACATGAGGCTCTTCCCGTGTGCCAGGAGACACGACATGAACCCACTGCGGCCCCAGTGTTTGCTCCTTGCTCCGCTAACAGTGTGAATGGCTCATCAGTGCATGGGCTGATGAACCAGGTTGAAATCCTGGCTCTACCACTGACCAGCTGAACCTCTGGACAAGTCGGTGTCTTTGGGGCCTGTTACCCCATCTGTAAAATGGGAAGAGTATGGACAGGGTATTTCTAGGTAGTTTGCTGGTTAAATAAGTTAATAGTATCAGCGCTCGGCATTAAGGTGCGTACAGGTGTCGTCTGTTAACAGCAGTTGCTCCATAGCTGCAGGGAATGTGGCCCACCGTGGATGCCTGACACTACAGTAGTGCAGAACCCTGTCTATTCCATTCGTTCCTATTCAATGTACCTGTGGTAAAGTTTAACTTACAACTTAAATACAGTACACTGAGGCTTTTAGGCCATTACTAAGTAAAGTAAGGGTTGCCTGCGCACAAGCCCTGTGAGACTGCGATGGTCCATCTGGTCACAGATGCGGCTACTGAGTGACCGACATGGATAGCAGATGCAGTGTGGGTGTGCTGGACTAAGGGACCACTTGCATCCTGGATGGGACAGATTTCATCACACTACTCAGAGTGACATGCAGTTTAAAACTTATGGAATATTGGCTGGGTGCAGTGGCTCATATCTGTAATCTCAGCACTCGGGGAGGTGGAGGTGCATGGATCACTTGAGGCCAGGAGTTCAAGACCAGCCTGGGCAACATGGTGAAACCCTGTCTCTACTAAAAATACAAAAATTAGCCAGGTGTGGTGGTGGGCACCTGTAGTCCCAGCTACTTGGAAGGCTGAGGCAGGAGAATTGCTTGAACCTGGCAGGCAGAGGTTGCAGTGAGTTGTGATTGTGCCACCACACTCCAGCCTGGGCAACAGAGTGAGACTCTTAGAGAATTTAGGCTGGATGTAGTATCTCACTCCTGTAATCCTAGCACTTTGGGAGGCTGAGGTGAGAGGATCACTTGAACCCAGGAGTTTGAGATCAGCCTGGGCAACAGAGTGAGACTTTGTCTTCCCCCGCTCCCAAAAAAAAGGATGGAATTTCCATTTAATATTTTTGAACTGCAGGTGATCGTGGGTAACTAGAACCACAGATAGCAAAACTGTAGCTAAGGGGGGACAACTGCATTCATGTTTGGCAAAATCGAAGGGCGGGGCTCCAGATGACCAGGACGAAGCTCCCTGTACTCATGCCACCCTGTGACTTAACAGATAAGGAAACTGGGGCCGGGGAAGGGGCAGTGATACAGCTGGGATCCTCGCCCCTATCGGTGAACTCTCCCAACTAACAGGGTGGGTTTTCTCAGCATGCTGTTTTGCTTTCACAAGTAGTTCTTATGCTGGGCAGAACCAACAGCCTGGCTCCTAGTGAACCCTGGGATGGAGGTGGGAGCAGCTGGCCAGTGCGATGTACTTCCAAGGGTGCCACGTGCTGGAAGATAGTGGGAATCGAGCCAGGCAGGTCTCATCCTTAGAGCCTGTGTCTAGGGGGTAACAGATGGAAGGATAAGCATTGCAAGTGGGGATGTGGTGGCCATGAGACCCAGGAGGTCAGGGAGGCTTCCTGGAGAAAGTGACTGCAGAGCTGAGACCTTGCGTACAGGCAGATGTTGGCCAGACTTTGGCCCAGATTATGCTGGTGCTGGGGTGGGGGCCTGGGGATCAGAAAAGATGCTGAGATCTGGTGGACAGAGGGAAGGGAAGCCCAGAGGCCCCATCCCAGCCACACCCACCTCACTCTTGCCCCTGCTTTCTGCCCTCCAGATCGAGACGCTCCCTCCGGAGCTCTTCCAGTGCCGGAAGCTGCGGGCCCTGCACCTGGGCAACAACGTGCTGCAGTCACTGCCCTCAAGGGTGGGCGAGCTGACCAATCTGACGCAGATCGAGCTGCGGGGCAACCGGCTAGAGTGCCTGCCCGTGGAGCTGGGCGAGTGCCCACTGCTCAAGCGCAGTGGCCTGGTGGTAGAGGAGGACCTGTTCAACACACTGCCGCCTGAGGTGAAAGAGCGGCTCTGGAGGGCTGACAAGGAGCAGGCCTGAGCTCGGCCAGCCCAGCACAGCCAGCAGCGGGACCGCCAGCCAGTCCTCACACCCAGAGGGCCAGGCCCAGCTTCTCCCAGAGCTCCCGGACAGCCAGGCCAGCCTTGCAGCCGGGCAGGAGCCTGGGGCCGGTTGTGAGTCGGGCTAGAGTGAGAGGACAGTATCTGCAGGGCTGGCCCTTTTCTCCCTCTGAGACTCATGCCCCCCCGGGGCAAGCGGCTGTGGAGGAGAGCAAGTCTCAGCGCAGTATTTGGATAATCAGGGTCTCCTCCCTGGAGGCCGTCTCTGCCCCAGGGGCTGAGCTGCCCAGAGGTCCTGGGACTCTCACTTTAGCTCTTGGTATTTATTTTTCTCTGCCTCCCGCCTCCTTCATCCAGATAACTTATACATTCCCGAGAAAGTTCAGCCCAGTTAGAAGGTGTCCAAGGAAGGGTGGGCTGCGTTTTCCCTTGTCCTTATTTAGCGATGCTACCAAGCATTTAGTGCCCACCCAAACTGAGCAGAGTGGTCCAGGGCAAACCAGCCGTGGGACGGTCACCCAGAGGTGCCGGGCTGGACTCTGGGAGTGCGGTCCATGGGAAAGCAGGCCTCCAGCTGGAAAGGCCAGGCCTGGGGCTTGCCTCTTCAGTTTTTGTGGCAATTTTAGTTTTTTGTTTTTTTTTTTTAAATCAAAAAACAATTTTTTTAAAAAAAGCTTTGAAAATGGATGGTTTGAGTATTAAAAAGAAAAAAACACTTAAAAAAAAAAAAAAAACACTAATGGCCAGTGAGTTGGAGTCTCAGGGTGGGGTGGCAGTTTTTCTTGAGCAAAGCAGCCAGACGTTGAATTGTGTTTCCTTTCCCTGGGGCGCAGGGTGCAGGATGTCTTCCGAATCTCATGTGACCTTGGTCCAGGAGTTCTGTTTGTTCCTGGGGCAGGGAGGATTTTTTTTGTTTGTTTTTTGGGGTTTTTTTTTAGTGTCTTGTTTTCTTTCTCCTCCATGAGTCTTGGCAGGCACTCATTTCTGTGGCTGTCGGCCAAAGGGAATGTTTTGGAGCTGCCAAGGAGGGAGGAGACTCGGGTTGGCTAATCCCTGGATGAACGGTGCTCCATTCCCACCTCCCCTCCTCGCGCCTGCCCTGCCTCTCCATGCACAGTATTAAGGAGCCACTTCACCCAGACTCTGTTTCCCCACCTCCTGTGGCATGGGTGTGCCCAGTGCCGCTGCTGGCCTCCGCTGCTTCCATCAGCCCTGTCGCCACCTGGTCCTTCATGAAGAGTAGACACTTAGAGGCTGGTCAGGCATGGGGAGGTCGCCCCTGGGAGCATAGGCTTCCTGACTTTGGTTCCAAGCCAGTTTTCATCCTGGGCGCCTGGAGTGCACACAGCCCAGTCCACACCTGGTGGCGGGAAGCCACCCTGCTTTAGATCAATCACTCGGGTCCCCACCTTAGAAGGGTCCCCGCCTTAGATCAATCACGTGGACACTAAGGCACATTTTAGCGTCTCTTGTCTTAATGATTATGTCCGTCCATCTGTCCGTTACGTTTTCTGCGTCATGTCATTGGGTATAATCCTCAGAAATAATGCACACTAGCCTCTGACAACCGTGAAGCAATCCGTTACACATGGGTCTGAACTTGTAGACTCAGTTTCCAGTATCAAATAAATCTATAACAGAAAGTGGCCTTTGGAGGTCTTCGTGTCCTGGGAGGACCCTTCCCTCACTTCTCTGAAGCCTGCTGGGCCATGTGGACCATTGCTTGGGCACCTGCAGGAGAGTTTACTCTGCTTATCTCTCTGCCCCATGAGACTGTGCCTTTGGAGGCACTTACTGGAGACTGTAAGCTGGACGGAGCACCTGCTAGGTAACAGGCTGAGACCCAGGCCAGGGATCCCAGAGCCAGCACATTCTGCCATCCTAGTCACCTGTGGTTGGGCCCTCATGAGGGTTTTTTGTTTTTTGACAGCGTCTCATTCTGTCACAGAGTGCACTGCTGGAATGTAGTGGCGCAATCACAGCTCACTGCAGCCTCGACCTCCCCAGGCTCAGGTGGTCTTCTCACCTCAGCCTCCCAAGAAGCTGGAACCACAGGGGCATGCTGGCTAATTTTTGTATTTTTTGTAGGAACGGGGTTTTGCCATGTTGCCCGGGTTGGTCTCGAACTCCTGAGCTCAGAAGATCTACCCACCTCAGCCTCCTAAAGTGCTGGGATTATAGGCATGAGCCACTTTGCCTGGCCCCTCATGAGTTCTGATGGGTGGGGATGGGAGAGGAGGTCACTGGAACGGAACTATTAGTTCTGGGCCTCTGTCCCAGCATGGGACAGGACATGCATGAGGCTGGGCAGATCGCTTCTCTCCAGTGGCCTTCATATCCCCATGTGTACAGTGGGAATTTCCACTCTGTGCTCTCAGAGGTCTCTTGCAGTTCCAACAGCAAGTCCCAAATGCTCTACAGATGTGGGGCTGAGAGTCACTGTGGGGAGGCCTGCCTCAGCTCCCAGCCCCTTTGGGAGCCTTTGGGAGGTACTGGGGTCCCAGGCAGAGGCTCTGAGACAGCTGCTTCCAGATCGCAGTTCTGCCATGTTTGATGTGGGGCTTCAGTTTTCTCATTTATAAAATGAAGAAGGTAATGGCAGACTCGCAGGACTGTTCTGAGGGACAATGGCGATTGTATAAGTAGATGGGGTTTTTAGTGGAGGGCTGGCTCCTAGGACCCAGTAACTGGCCTTGTATCTTCTTCCAAACCAAGGATCCTTGTGGGCCAACAGGGGCGCCCTGCAGCAGGAGTCTTTGGGTAAGGAAAAAAGGCCATCATATCTGACTTCGGCCTTAGTGATGAGGCCTGGGTGGCTGCCTGGGCACCTCCTTTGCAACTGGCCAGAGTCTATCTATCCTTCCTCCCTCCACAGGAACTCTGACCTCCCCAGGTGAACTCAGGCCTGAGTCAAGATGCCCTCCCTCTTTTGCCTCTGCCATGGGCTTTCTGACAGGCTGAGTAGCTGGACTGTGACCCCCTGTGGAGGCTCTCTTTTTTTCTGTCTCCATGGTGACAGTCTCTCCCCGAGTCTGGTACCCTTCCCACCACCCACCAACCTCCATCCCCAACCCCACTCCCACCCGCCCCCCCAGCCTTGACGCTGTACAGTGCCCAGAGCAGAAGAGTTCGATCTGGAGCTCAGCTTTTGGAAAAAACAACCATGTGGAAACATGCCCACCCACTTCCCAAAGCTGAGCAGAATGAACAGTTAGTGGGAGGCTGGGCCTCTCCATACCCACCCAGGGCTCTCCACTTTGCCTAAAAGCACTGTGGTGGTCTTCTTTCTGATCGTAACAACAATTTCAGAAGCTCAGAACAATTTTTTTTACATCATATTCCACCCAGAACAGCCCCTGCTAACATTTGATGAACAAGTTTTTCACCAGTTGGTTGGCACTTACTCAGTGCCAGGCCAGGTGCCAAGCTCTTTATCAGCCATGAAGCATTCATCTGATTTACCACTCACAGGGGAGCCTTCTGCTAGCCCCAAATTACAGACTGGGAAAGTAAGGCCTGAACATCTGGGATGCAAATGCAGTCTGCCTCACTAAGCCTCCTCTGTAAGCCTTCTGTGGGGGCTTCCAGGGGTGGCTGGCCCAGCCTGAGGGGACCTCAGTGTTCCTGGCACATGGTAGGGATCTGTCTTTGTTGGGCAGTTGAATCAGAAAGGCTGAGGACAGCTGGGAACACACCCTGCCTCCCGCAAACCTCGTGGTTCTGTCATCTGCCTGCCCCTCACCCAGCCTAACCCTTCTGAACTGGAAGCCTGGGCTGCACTCACTGCTTACCCTCCTCCACCCCACCCCCCACCCACCCCACGACTTGGCCCAAGCAGCAGCTCCCAGAGTGAGCGGTGGCCCAGCAAATACAGCTTGACTCAGGGCCAAGGCTCTTGAGGGCTGAGCAGTGTCCCCATGCTCACTCCTGAAACACCTTGTCCCTTTGCCATTCAGAAGGCATCATTTTGGGGAAGGCAGTGGCTGGTTTTTCAGAGCCAGAGAGTGGCCCTGCCAGCTGCTGGGCAGGGCGGGCTGAGAAGGGTGGTGTGCAGGTGTTGTTCTGACCTCACCTCCACTGTGCCAGCCTGACTTGAGATGCCAAGTATCTTAGGCTTGAGGGTGGGTAACAGGAGGCAGCTCTCTCACTACAGCCCCTTCCTCTTCCTAAGATACCCGTGTCTTCTACCTTCCTCTGAGCTCCGGATGGATGCGTTAATTCCCTTCCATAATCCTCCCAGGACCCAGAGGCTTTCAGATCAGGGCTGGGAGGGGCCCTGACAGTTCACCCCCAGGACCTCTTCCACCTTTGGAATGCCCATCACCTGGGGGATGGGGGTGTCACACGTCCCCCAGACCCATCCTGCATTCCACTCTATCCAGATTGAGGCCTAGAGAGGGGCAGAAGTCCCTTAGAGTCACAGGGAATGGCAGCACCTGGACTGATACTCTGCCCAGCTGTTTGCCTGACCCTCTCAGAGCGTAACTTCCGGGCACCTGGTAAGCAGTGGTGGGGGGTGGTTTCCAGAAAGAAACGCAGAGGGAGCAGACAAAAACCATGGAGATGGGAAAGGGCAAATCCTGGAATCCTTGTGGGGGTGGAGGGGATTAGCCTGGAGGTCACAGGCTGATCTGGCAGTGTCTCGGAGAAGAGGGTTGGGTGGTGGGATCGGGTTTTCTCCGGGTAGGGAAGGGTTAAGTCCTCTCAAGTTCCTAAACGTTCTTCCTCCCCACCCGGCGGCAGCACCTAGAAGCCGCCCAGTGCCCTGAGCTGTCTCCATGGCCTGCCTGAGCCCCTCGCAGCTCCAGAAGGTAGGAGCCTGCAGGTGGGGGCTGGGAGGGTCATGGGGGGCTGGAGGGGTCACCGCGGTAGTCGCGGTGCTCAACCCACCCCTTGCCCCATTTTACCGAGGACGAAACTGAAGTCCAGAAGAGCAGGTTCCCAACCACAACCCCTGACTTCGCACACAGCCCGGGGTGTCCAGATCACAGGACGCACGGGGTGTCCAGATCACAGGACGCAGGGTGGGGTGGGGTAGGGAAGTGTGTGTTTGACCAAAACAAGAATAAAGCTTCGGAACCGGCCAATTCGGCCCCGGGCTGGAATCCGCCAGGAGAGGGGCGGGGCTCGCGAGAAGGGCCCAGGTTCGTCCAATCACAAAAGGCTACCACGTGGGAATTAGAAAGCCCAGCATTTAAAAAAATCACTCAAACATTCCTACGCTGAGACTTCATATTTTCGTATACAGCTCTAGAAAGTTTCTTCCATTATAACAGCTACCATGAATCAAGTGCTGGACAAGTGTCTTTTTGAGGGGGTGGGGAGGAGACAGTGTCTTACTACAGGCACACGTCCCCCCCCACAGAGTTCATTTTTTTATTTTTATTTTTATTTTTTGCACCGATCTCGGCTCACTGCAATCTCCACCTCCTGGTTTCAAGCAATTCTCCTGCCTCAGCCTCCTGAGTAGCTGGGAGTACAGGTGTGCGCCACCATACCCAGCTAATTTTTTTTGTGTGGTATTTTTAGTAGAGATGGGTTTTCACCAGGTTGGCCAGGATGGTCTCATCTCCTGACCTCGTGATCCACCCACCTCGGCTTCCCAAAGTGCTGGGATTACAGGCGTGAGCCACCGCGTCCGGCTATTTTTTTTTTTTTTTTTTGAGACAGAGTGTCTATCGCCCAGGCTGGAGTGCAGTGGCATGATCTTGGCTCATTGCAACCTCTGCCTCCCGGGTTCAAGGGATTCTCCTGCCTCAGCCTCCCGTGTAGCTGGGAGGAGCACACCACCATGCCTGGCTAATTTTTGTTTTTAGTAAAGACAGCGTTTCACCATATTGGCCAGGCTGGTTTCGAATTCCTGACCTCAAGTGATCTGCCCGCCTCGGCCTCCCAAAATGCTAGGACTATAGGCGTGAGCCACTGTGCCAGACTGGAACCTGACATTTTTTTTTCTTGAGACTGAGTTTCATTTTCATCACTCAGGCTGGAGTGCAATGGTGCGATCTCCACTCACTGCAACCTCTGCCTCCTGGGTTTTTAGTAGAGACAGGGTTTCACCATGTTGGCTAGGCTGGTCTTGAAATCCTAACCTCAAGTGATCCACCTCCATCAGCCTCTCAAAGTGCTGGGATTACAGGTGTGAGCAACTGCGCCAGACCTATTTTTATTTTTGTAGAGATGGGGTGTCACTATGTTGCCCAGGCTGGTCCTGAGCTCCTGAGCTAAAGCAATCCTCTTGCCTTGGCCTTCCAAAATGCTGGGACAGCAAGGCATGAGCTGCCATGCCCAGCCTGCCAGGTTCAATAAAAGAGGCTGTACTGTCATCCCCATTTGGTACCCTGAGGGCCAGAAAGAAGAGGGAATTTACTTGGCCAAGTTATCACAGTGGCCAGATAATAATTTATAGCCAATCTTTTTTTTTTTAATTTTTCATCTCACAGTATATCAGGCTCATTCCCATGAGAGTAAATATGTTTCGGCCCGGCGTAGTGGCTCACGCCTATAATCCAAGCACTTTGGAGGCCAAGGTGGGTGGATCACCTGAGGTCCAGAGTTCAAGACCAGCCTGACCAATGTGGTGAAACCATGTCTTCATTTAAAAAAAAAATGTAGGCCGGGCGCGGTGGCTCAAGCCTGTAGT